AGGGAAACAGATTTTTCTGGTGTCAAACAGAACAGTTTCACCATCTTCTTTGATTCGGTCGCTTCTAATACTTATGCCTTTGGGGTTTTATATTCTCTCCTAAGCAACTCAAACAAGGACATCTTTTTTTGGTTGTATTCACTTGCTAGGGCCACTGTGACAAAGTATATAGATTAGGCAGCTTAAGAAACAGATATTTATCTTCTCATGGTTTGCAGGCTAGAAATCTGAAATCAAGACGTCAGCAGGGTTGGTTTCTTCTGAGAGCCATGAGGGAAGAACCTGTTCCAGGCCTCTCTCCTTGGCTTGTAGATGGCTATCTTCACCCTGTGTGTTCCCTTCTGTGTGTATCTGTACCCAAATTTCTTGGTCTTATAAAGACACCAGTCATATTGAATTAGGGCCCATCCTAGTGACTTCATTTTAACCATATCTCTTAATACAATTACATTCTGAGGCCCTGGGAATTAGTATTTCAACATATGAATTTCTGAGGTGGGGGACATAATTCAGCTCATAGCTCTGCATTATGGCATTTGTCAGTAAGATAATAAATTTTTACCTTTGTTACTTTTGCTTCTTATGGGAGAAAAAAAAGTCTTCCCTGAAGCAGCAACTCAGTTTAAGTAAGCAGATTTAGCTGATTAAAATTGGGTTTTAATTCCAAATCAGAGAGAGAGAGAGAGAGAGAGAGAGAGAGAGAGAGAGAGAGAGAGAGAATAATGAGACTTTCTACTTCCTGGTTCTAATTCTTCATTTGGCCAGACTGAATCCCAATTTTTTAAATACCTACATCCCTATATTCCTCTTAGGATACCATTATAGCCCCCAAATAAATCTCTGCCTTTCTTGGCTTATAGTAGCTCAAGTTAGTTTCATTTGTGACCAAAACTATTTTTTTTAATGTTTCATATACATTTGAAGAAAATGTGCATTCAGTTGTTTTTAGGCTAAATGATCTACTACTGTCAATTACATCAAGTAGGTTGCTTATGTTAACTCTTCTACACTCTTATTGATCTCCTGTGTACTTATTCTAACAATTATTGAGAAAGGGGTGTCAAAATCTCCAGATACACCCTCCCCCCTTCCCTCTGAGATTCGACAGTCTGTTCCATGTTTCTATGTCTCTGGATCTATTTTGCTCATCAGTTTATTTTATTCATTAGATTCCACATATGAGTGAGACCATGTGATACTTGTCTTTCTCTGACTGGCTTATTTTGCTTTGCATAATACTCTCCAGGTCCCTCCAAGCTGTCTCAAATGGTAAGAGATCCTTCTTTCTCCTATATTATCTTTTAGAGATTTTATCGTTTTTCATTTTACATTTAGGTCTATAATCTGTGTCAAGTTAATTTTTTTGAAGGGGTAAGCTGTGTGTCTAGAGTTATATTTTTTTACATGTCCAGTTGTTCCAGCTCCATTTGTTGAAAAGAATATCTTTGTTCCACTGTATTGCCTTTTTTCCTTTGTCAAATATCACTTGACTATATTTATGTGAGTCTATTTCTCGGTTCTCTATTCCATTCCATTAATATATTTGTTTATTCGTTTGCCAATACCTCACTGTCCTGATTACTATAGCTTTATAGTAAGTCTTGAGGTCCGGTGGTATCAGTCCTCCAACTTCATTATTCTTTAGTATTGTGTTGGGACTTCTTTACAACAGGATATAGTTACAGAGATATTGACAACCTAGCTCTAGAACTCATGTGTTTAATCATTATATTATTCTGCCTTAGAGATGAACTAGATTTTGATTCTCAAATAAATATTATTATAGGTTCTATTATTTAGCTATTTCTATTTGTTATTGTTAAGAAGATATTTTTTAATGTTCTTTTTTTTTATGAGGAATATTTATTTATTTATTT